TGCTCAACATCTCCAATTAGTCATTGGAGAAATGCAAATTAAAACTATAAACCTTATAAATATATAAACATATAAATATATAAACATATAAACATGTAAATATATAAACATATAAACCTTTATGCACTTGTGGAAGTGGCTAAAATAGAAGAAATCCAAACTGACACAGGGTTGGCAAGGATGCCAAGCTTCTCACTCATTGCTGGGGTGGGTGTGTGCAAGATGGTACAGCCTCTGTGGAAAGCAGTTTCTCAGTTCCTGATGAAGTTAAACATACAGCTACCACACGAACCAGCAATCCCCTTCCTATTGACCCAAGAGAACTGAAAACATACGTTTAGGTGAAAACGGGTATGCAAATGTTTATAGCAGCTTTATTCATAACTGTTGAAAACTGGAAACAAGCCACATGTTCTTTAGCAGGTGAAGGAATGAAGACGTGCGGTCCATCCATGCAGTGGAATACTACTCAGTAGTAAAAAGAGAACAGACTGTTGATACAAGAGCAACAACACTGCTGAGTTTACCGCATTCTGTCAACTGGAAGAAGCCAGTCTGACAAGCTGACACACTGCACGATCCATTTGAATGACTTTCTGGAAAAAGCAAAGTGATAGGGATGGAGAAGAGACTCCTGGTTGCTGGGCTGGGTGGGGGTGACTCCAAAGGGGCAACAGGAGGGAATTTTGGGGGGTTTTAGAACTGTTCTGTGTTTTGATTGTGGTGTTTACATGGCTGTATGCATTTGTCAAGAGTTGTAGAAACTTTAACCAGAAAGAGTACATTTTATTGTATGTAAATTTAAAAATAAATGTAGGGCGCCTGGGTGGCTCAGTTGGTTAAGCGACTGCCTTCGGCTCAGGTCATGATCCTGGAGTCCTGGGATCGAGTCCCGCCATCAGGCTCCCTGCTGAGCAGGGAGCCTGCTTTGCCCTCTGACCCTCTTCCCTCTCGTGCTCTCTATCTTTCATTCTCTCTCTCTCAAATAAATAAATAAAATCTTTAAAAAAAATGTAAAAACATGAATAGGCTTTGAAGGACCAGCAGTTAAAGCTCACTTAGTGCTGTCGGGTGGGGGCCCCGTGGTGGAGCAGAACCCCAGAGGCTCACAGAAGCTGGGCTGTGCCTCCCGCTGAATTCACCTGGCCATCCTTGGTGATGGTGTCATCACGATGCTTGTCACACTCACAGTCTGTCCCTGATGCTGATGGCTTGGCTGCAGGCAGAAGTCTGCGGCATGCACAGGGCCACCCCCATTGCATGGCCTGTGTCTCCCAGGCTTGGACACTGGTCAGGAGTCAGGGGCTGGGAGACCATGAATGAGTGCTAAGAAGAGGGTGACCTAACCCTCACCTTTTCTGGAAACTCCCTTCCCCTCCCCTTCTTTTTTAAAGATTTTATTTATTTACTTACAGAGAGAAAGTGAGTGGGGTGGGGAGGGGCAGAAGGAGAGGGAGAATCTCATGCAGACTCTGCACTGAGCTTGGAGCCTGACGCTGGGCTCGATCTCACGACCCTGAGATCATGACCTGAGCTGAAATCAAGAGTCAGATGCTGAACTGACTGAGCCACCCAGGCGCCCCTGGAAGTTTGCTTTCATTCCACGGACACAGTCGCTCATTCCAGATGTCCTTGGGATCCTACTTCCTCCCCTCCGTGTGTCTTGGGAGGCAGAGCATCGTAATGCTAACTGCATGGGTTTCAGTGTCAGAGAGCCCTTGGTTTGCATCTCAGGGCCAGAGCAGTGGTCTTGGGCAAGGACTTTAACTACTTTTGGTTTCAGCTTCTCAACCTCTAAGACGGGGACAATAATAGTAGCTACTTCATGGGGTGGCCGAGGATTACACAATCAAAACATGCACTTGAAGCCCAGTGCCCCACGTGGTGAGCATGTAATAAACAAACAAGGTGTCAGGTGAGTGGATGGACGGATTTGTGAGTGCTTCTGGCGGGCGGGGATGCTGAAGCCTCTGTCGTCCTTGTACACAGTGCCAGCACCGGCCTGGGAAAGCACCTGCCAAGTACCTTCTGTCTCACGGAGCTCTGGGACCAAAGTCACACTCAGGGCTCACTCCTTTCTTCATACCTTCCTGCAGGCCAGGCCCTGGCTCTCAGACGCGCTCAGCAGCTCTGAATCCCCAGGGTTCCATGCTCTCCACCCCCCGGCGCTTCACACACCTTCACTCCAAACTCCCCTCCCAGCCCCACACGGGTCAGGACGGGATGGGACCTGGACAGTCACAGCTGCAGCCCGGAGGCCGACTCCTTTCCTCCTGGGCTCCCCACTCCTGGGGCTTGTATGTGGTGCACCAACATGTGTGGGGTTCTAAAGCCATCCGGGGACTGACTTTCAGTTCCTGGATCAAAATATGGTGCATTGTCTGTATAATTGCATAAATAACAGGCTGAAGGATTACTGATGCCAGCCTCATGGGAGCAAGGAAGGGCGAACCTCGGGCTCTGTCCTGCCTGGGCTCTGCTCGGTTTGCATCTGTGTCAGGGTAAACGTGGATGTGCATATTGAGGACATTATGTTCATTAGGATTTGTGGTTGGGAGATAGATCATATCTCAGCTGACTGGACTGATGGACCAAACCAAAGAGGGAGGAATTAAAAGAGATAAAGGTCAATTCTGGTTCTTAGGCCTTCAAATCCAACAACGTGCACACAGAATGATGTGGACTGAGTTTAATGAGCACATGAGAAAGATCTGGGGCTTTTAGGCAATGCAAGGTCAGTACGAAGCCAGGGATGTGATGCGGAAACAAAAAAGCTAATGCTATCAGGTTGCATTAACAGAGACATAGGTACCGGAATAGAGGAGGTGATACATTTACTCTCTGTGCTAAGCTGACCTCATCTTGAATATCGTGTTTACTTTTGACAGTTACATTTTAGTATAGACATTTACAACCCATAACATCAGCCGAGGGCAACCAGGATAAGTGTCCGCTTATATAAAGGTTGGAGAGAGTTAGCCTGAAGAACAAAGATTTGCTGGGTTCAGGATAGCCGATGCTACTTAAGGGGGTTCCCTGTGGAAGAGTGATTTGACCTATCCTATATGCCTCCAAAGCAGTGCTATATAATAGAACTTCCTGTGATGATGGAAATATTTTATGTCTGTGCCATTTAATAGCTACCAGACAGATGTGGTTTTTGAGCAAATAAAATGGGGGAACTGATTTTTTAATTTAACTCATTACAATTAAAATTTAAATGGCTTACTGTGTCTACCTTATTGGATGGTGAAGCTTTAGAGGGAAAATAAAAGAGTAGACCAGGGGTTGGCAAATTTTTTCTGTAAAGGGTAAGACAGTAACTATTTTGGGCTTTGCTGGGCATATGACTTCTGTTGTAGCTACTGGGCTCCCCCATTGTAGCGTGAAAGTATACACAGCATAGGAAAGAATGAATGCGTCTGTGTTCTAATAAAACTTTATTTATGGCAACTGAAATTTGAATATAATCTTTACATGTCACAAAATATTCTTCTTTTGATTTTTTTTTCCAATGACTTTAAAGGCGTAGAAACCATGCTTAGCTCCTAGGTTGTACAAAAATGGGTGTCAGGCTGGATTTGGCTTTGTAGTTTGCTGACTCTGGCTTAGGATGTGGGCGGGAGCCTCAGGGAGTCATATGTAAGTTCAAGAATGGGAGACAGTATTAATTAGAGGTAGCCGGGCATGGCCTGGGCACCCTCAGTGAGAGGTGAGTTCTTGTCACTCACGGTTCAAGTACAGGCCGGGTAGTTAACTGTCTGGCGAGAGATGAGGCAGAAATGTGTCTACTTAACATGGGTTATACTAGAATTTCCCCTGAATTCTGTAGGAGTTTTGAAATCAGGATGACATGTGACTGCTTTAAAATTATACCTGCTTTGTGCAGGGAAGGGGATTGTTTCCCCCGCTGGGTACTTCGTCTGCGCCCCGTGTTGCTGGGACGGGGACACCTGTGGGTGGCCTCCAGCCTCATTGCTCCCGTGGTTCTGCCGAGCGTTCCAGGCCCCTGGGATGTGCCTTCCTGGGGGAGCTGCTTAAGCCCATCTTTGTGCAGCCCAGGAGAGATGCCGCTGAGAGCGCCTCGGGCCTCCATGCCGGTGCCGTCCGGCGAGCTGTGAGACTCTGTCCAGAATGAAGTCGAGGACCCATGTCCCGCGGACCGTCTGTGAAGACGGGACCACTCAGGAGCTGACTGTCCAGCCCGGGGACCGCGGGAGGTCGCGTCCTCTCCGTTACCGTCGGCGGTCTCTCGCCTTTCTCCTCTGTCCTGCCTTCTGTCCGTCTCACTTCCGATCAGCATCTCTGCTAAAATAAACACAAATAGAGAATAAACGGCTTCTTCCTACAAGGAGAGAGGTGGAAAGCGCTGGCTTGAAGTTGGAATTTCTTGTGCTTTTATCCACACCTCCACTTGCCGCCACTGTAATGGAGTTTTCTCCATGTCTTTGGAAAGCACAGGAAGGCTCTGAAGCTTGACTTGGGGGCTTTCCAACAATTGAGATAAATACCTTTGGCATGCAACATTGTGCAAATTTGATACACGGATGTTGCAGAACAGTTCCCATTGTAGGACTGGTGACCGCTCTGTCCCGACACATAGCTGTCACTTCTTCCAGTGACTGGAGCGGTTAAGAGCTGGTCTCTTGGCCAGTTTAATGTTTAGGGTACAGTTCTGTTGTCTGTATGCACTAGACTGTGCATTAGGTCTGCAGGACTTACTTGTCTACGCGTGGCAAGCACGTGGCAGGCGCGTGCCCTTAAACAGTATCCTGCCCTTTCCCTACGTGGGGGAGTTTTAAGCGTACACAGAAGACAGAGGAGTTCGATCAGCCCCAAGTGTCCATCACCGGCTTTGATGGCAACCACCTCCTGGCCAGTCTTAGATCACTGATAGCTTCTTCCTGCCTCCTGTATTATTTTGAAGCAAATCTATAGGAAGGCGCAGGGCACTGACTCACCTTTGCACTAACGTCTCGATTCTGCGCATTCTGTTTCAGATCATTGCCTTCGATGAGTTAAGGGCGGATTTTAAGAGCCCCATAGACCAGTGTAACCCTGTTCACGCGGTAAGTAGCGGGGGCGGGGGGGTGTCAGGGCTGGTTACCGGGGCCTGTGGAGGAGGGACGTTCCGATGGGGGGTGGGTAAAGTGCCTCCACTCCTGGCTCAGGGCCGTCGAGGACCCCTCTCGTTCCTGAGGTCCGCCCAGGTCCCGACGTACCTTGCAAGTCAAATAGGACGATCCCAGTAAGCCAGGTGAGAAAGGTCTGCTGTGCTTTGGCGGACCAGTCTTCAAGGCCTTGTGCTGGCGGTTCTGGTTATTCATCCTCAAATAAGGAGAGAGGCTCCATGTTGGCCAACGTGCTGGCAGGGCATGGGAGCCTCCTTAGTGGCTGTTTGCACTCTGCGCTTGGCCAGGTGTCTCAGAGGGAGACACCAGAGTGGGTGGAGGTACAGAGCCCCTGGGCCCACGTCCACCGCCCAGGGGGACACTCATCTCAAGAGGCTCCATGGGCCTGAGGTCAGCTCGCCTCCCACTGGGGAATCTGATGCGGTCTGGTCCTCGGATCCAGGCTCGGCACGTGCGATCTGACTGTCCCGTCCGGCTGCAGTTCCCTCATGCCCGGGAGTGGGCATGGCAAGCGGCTTGTGCAGGGAGAGGAGGAAGACCCTACTTCCAATGAATGGGGTGGGTGCAGCTCACTTGCCAGGGCCGGGGACCAACCACACGGGTGGACAGAGCCTTGTCCACACTTATTCGAGGCCAGCACTGCTGGGCACACACGGTTCTTTCAGGTGTGTCTCTCAGCCTGTACTCACGGGGTCCGTGTGTGGTTGAAGTTCCTTCCAGGCCCTGGGTTCCAGCACCAAGCCAAGTTTTTGTTTGAATAGCCCTGTGGGTATTTTCAGTTAGAGGTTGTAGACTGGACAGCAGGATTTACTAGTGCGAATCCATCTTAACCCAGAAGGCTTATGGTGTCACTCTAGCAACACGGACAAAGAGGTCTGTTCTCCTTGAAGAAAGATGTGCTCCCGGGAGGAGCCAGAAGACCAGGGGACTAGGCTTCAGTGTCCCCTCTGTAAAGCATAGGGCTTTTATTGGAGTCGTACGTTTTGGTGAGTTTTTACTGCACACTAGGAACTTTACACGTATAACCCATAGTCCTCACAGCTCTGCCCGAATGGCATCATTTACTGCACGTGCAGACTCGTACGCAAGGGCCCACAGCCCCTGGAGGTCTGCCTGTCCCCAGAGCCCATGTTCTTACCACCTAGCCACTCCATGGTGTCTCTTTCAGAGACTGGATTTTTCTAATGCCTGATTTTATCATCCCTTTGGCATCAGATTCTTTGGTTCTGTGAAATAGAGCCAAACCCTTTTCAAAGTCAAGGGTGTGAAGCAGAAACTTGTGGCAAGTTGCAAGAGTCCCTAAGATGCACTTGGAAACTTCTTAGGCTTTGTACTTGCATTAAGTCCATTTTTATTTCCATCTGCTGGCCTCCCCCCACCACCTGTGATAACTTGGCCCCACCAGGCCTGAAGGGTTACCCCCCAGTCTCATTTCTTTCTGGATGTTTTGTGTTTGGCACCATGTTACACTCCTGGCCCATCGGAGCTCTAGTCCGAGAGGGGGGCCGCTATCCGTCCTCCTAGCTGTGCGGGCTCAAATGAGCTCACTGAAAACACCCAGAGCTTTCTTGAATGACCCCAGGTGCACGCTAGTGCAGAAACGTGTCCTCCGCTCCGTCCTGTCCTGCCAGTTCAGCCCAGGCGATCGGTGAAGCCGTGAGACAGCTTCGTGGAGCCACCAAGAGAATATAGGACTGACACGCAAGCCGCAGCAGCCTCTGGGGAAGGTCAGCCTGCACACAGTAGGCACTCAGCTGTTGTTGACGAGAGGGAGAATGCATCTGCTGCAGGGTGAGGTATAGCGTGGAGGCTGGGTCTCGGCTCTTCACTCCTATCATGAAAGCCATGCTTCTAACTGGGTAATGACTTAATCAAGAAGCCTGGACCCTGTGGGCCAGACAGTCCGTGGACAGACTGAAGCCCCCCTGGGAAAGCACTCTTGTCTGAGATTTCTAAAAAAAATCCATTAAAACCCTACACGGAAGAATATTAGACATATTTTCTTGGTTCTGACGATTTACTCCCTGGCAGGGAGCTAAGTGCTTTGGATGCCTCATTAACTCACGTTCGAGGTCTTTTGGGCTCCGTAGAGCCTCCGAAAATGCATCTCTGCCTCAGCTGGCTTGGAGAAGCTACTGCCCACTGGTGACACCCGCCCTATGTGGACTTAGCTTACAAACCATAGCTGTATGAGCAGGTGTGAGGCCCACTGGCTCTCTGGACTGAAGATCCCCTAGAGCTCCAAATCTTGCAGGGCCCTCGGGGTGGACCCCTGTCCAGGAGCTGGAAGGGATGAGGAGGGCTCTGCTCTACTCCTAGCTTCTCATTCAGCCTTTCCCCTTCCTTTATCGGTGGGGCCCTTTAGTGTCACCGTCAAGGAAGGGGAGCCAGCAGAGGACCGGCTTGCGGGGAAGGAGCTGGTGCGCGCCCCGTGGCAGCCTCTCTGTGCCTGGCATTTCACACCTTTCCTCTTATTAATACTCCACGTAGGCAGCCTCGATGCCCAGCTGTGTGTGGGGTTTGTGTGTGTGCATGCGCGTGTGGACAGACACGGGGTTTGCTGCAGAGGACGTGGTCTGTCTTCCTAGCCACGTGGACACTAATTTGTCCTGATGTGGGGGCTCTTTCCTCTGGGCTTAAACGATGCACAGGAATCACTGTACGATTCAATTAGGGAAGCTGAAGTGGCCCAGCCACCCGTCTTCCCCAGATCCGCGAGCAAGTTCATTAGCATCACTTCCACGGTCACCAAATTGCCTCATAACGAAGCATCGGACAGAGGCTGCAGCTGTGCTCAGAGGGGCTTTGGAAAACAAGAAGCCACTGCGGGAAAGGGTGATGTGACTGTCATCCCCCCGCTCGGCTGCGGGCGCCTGTTCTCAGCCCTGAGCCTGGCTCCGGAGATGGACTTCGACGTCTCGAGACGTTTTAGCCTGGGGGTGCTGCTGGTGTCTAATTTAGTGGGATGATTCCTTTGTCTAAATGCACTCGCTTTAGAAAAATAAAATCAGCGGGCAGAGAAATTCCCAACCGTAGACTCTAATCAGGGCACATGGGCTCTGGAGCCCCAGGTGGACAGTCCTTCCGGGAGGGTGACTCGGCCTCCAGGGCGTCCCGAGGACGTTGGTACCTTTTGACCCCCTCCGGCCAGCTCCCTCTCCTCTACTCCCTGTCTCTGATAACCGCACGCCTGATCTCCTTCTCTATGAGCCACTGGATGGGAGCACGCGGGTCTCTGGTGGGTTCTGCCTCCTCTCCTGGGGGCTGAATGTGGGGGCTTCTCACGTTCCTTCAGCAGAGCATCTAACCTTCCCTCTTTTTCTTTCCTGTGCATCCCAATAGAGGGAACGTCTGAGGAACATCGAGCGCATCTGCTTCCTCCTGAGAAAGGTCAGTGCAGGAGCTCCATGCCCGAGGGTGGGCAGTCCTGTGGTTGTGGCTGGTCACGCAGCGGGAGGGGCTGGTGAGGCTCGGTGCCTGCTCCAGTCCTGTCTCCCCGGAAGAGGCAAATGGCAGGGGAGCGGGCGGCGGGAGCAAGTGAGCCTTTCGTTTGCTGGAAACCTCCAGAGATAAAAGGAGCTCATTAGAAGGGGTGGCCATCAGTCAAAGTGACAGGGCAGCACCGGATATTTGCAGGTGCCCTCTGGCTGGACTCAGAGGTTCTTTATCTTTGCGTGATGATGGATGGCGTTTCCAGCTCATGTAACCTTACAGCTTTTGTTCATTGCTGGGCTCAGGGAAGTTTTTAACTAGATGCTGGGTTTCCTCTGAGGTTTCAGCCTGCCGCTCAGCTTTGTGGTTTGATGGGCAGCATCACTGGGAGTGTTTTGGGGGCGGGATGGGAAGTGTTATTGAAGGGGTGGGCAAGCATTGGGAGAGTTGTTGTGAACGGATGGGTGGTAGGTCACAGCGGCCTTGGGTGCATCTGGAAGCACACGTGTGCACACGCACAGTCACGTGTGTGCATGCAGCTCGAGCTTGGTATTTAGCTCACCTCCATGACACAGCCGGGCCACGGGATGGGGAAGCCACCTGTCAACCCAGAGGGAGCTTCTGAGCCGTAAGTGAATTCGAGAGAAACACCTACCCCGCCGACATTGACAGGGAGTAACTGTGCGAGCTTTTGGATTTTTTCCGTATTTCCATAATGATACCTTTCACTGGAGGAGAGAGTCTAATCAAGTAGTTACTTATTTTTCCAGCTACTCACTTGTCCTTTCACGCTTTCCTAGAGCCTCGGTCTGGTAGGGTTCCCCAGCTTGTGGGGTCGCAGCAGGGAAGTGCGGTCAGACAGGGAAAATACATATGAAAACAGTGACCCAAAGAGTAAAGGATGATGTAAGAAAACACATGACATTTGGTGTTAAGGGCAACTCAGGAATTTGTCAGTTATTTTCGCCTGTCATATCTTGGACACCAGTAACCCCTTTGGTGGTCACTTCCCGTCCGACACCTAAGAGTCTGTCACGCTCCCTCCCCCCATCCTGAACATGCCTCCCCGGTTCTCACATCCATCCTGTGAGTCTGGCTCACCCTTCGGCACCGCTTGGCCACTGACTCTGGCCGGACAGTGGCCGGTGGCCGCGTCTGCCAGGGTCCTGCTTCAAGCCCAAGGTCAGAGCTGAGGCCAGGAGAGAACCCAGGCTGGGCGGGAATTGGCATTACCATTTGTCAATTTATACACAGTTTGCGTAAGTTTCTAGAAACGGCAGGCATTTTGCTCCAGGAAATCTACGCCAAGTACCTTTCTTTGCTTCTGGTCCTTTTCATGTGGTCCCTCCCCCCATGCGGTGGCCTCTGCGGCCCTTGGGAACGCAGGCGCTGTTCATCGTTAGCGGGAAACCCCGGGGAGGCTGGTCCAGGGTAGACACCGCGGACAGGCAACACTGACTTCAAGTTCTTAGGTGTTAGAGCTGTGCCCGATCACGCGTCCTGCGGCCCAGCGGTCTTCGGCCCCACGACCAGCGGCACGAGGACCTAGCCCGAAACATGTGCATCTACTATATTTGCTACACTTAGTACTTTCATCAGATTTGTATTTTAAAGTCACACATAGCTCTCTCTTGTGTCGGCCGTCGACCGGGCAGGTCCCTAACTGACAACTTCTCCTGCCCTGTCCGTGCCCACCGCCCTCCTTGGGGTCTGTGTGGTCACCTGACCCCCGTCTGCTGCCCACCAGCTCTGGTCCCTTCCACGGGAGAGGTGGTGGGGGACGCAGGCTTCTGCTGCGCCCGGATGCCGCCCCTGCCCTGATGATCCGTCCAGCCTCCGGCGAGACTCTAACCCCAGGGGTGGCGAGAACAGCGCCTCCTGGTGCCGCTGCCTCAGAGGCTACAGTTGTGTGCAGCTCAGAGCTGCTGGGCGCCGGGCGCATTCCCGCGGGCATCCTGACCCCCGGCAGCTGCCTGGAGCGCCGTGTGACACCCCCAGGGCTCACGCACACCCCGGAGGCAGGTGAGGTGGCCTGTGGCCTCCCTGGCCTGAGCCCATGCCGGGGACGTGGGGAGTGTTAGTGGGTCTGGTTAGCGCCACCACCTTCTGGGAACTGTACCTTCCAAGAAATTTCTTGGAACTTGTCCCCCAAACACCCAGAATGTGATGTATCTCCACAGCTGATTGTTGCTAAACCACCTCCTCAGCTTTCTCGGGAGGAAGGAAGGGATTTTCAAAGGGGATCCATTTTTAGCTCTCTAATTATCAGAAAATGTGTTCTTTGGGTAATTGTCTGAACTGCAGGATTCTCGTGTCGATGTGCGCGTGTGATTCATTTTCCGTGGCAAGAGCCACTTCACATGCTGCTCTCCCGCTGGAGCGGGACGTGGGCTCCGTGGGTCGCTGCAGAGGTCAGCTTGGGAGCGGGAAGCGTCATGGGCCCCGCGCGGAGGAGGCTGAGCTGCCCAGGGGCCCCGGATGCATCTGCAACTTCAGGAAACGGTTGGAGGAAAGGAGCTGACGGGCGAGCCCGAGGTTGGCATGAGCGTGAGGAGAAGCGTGCCTTGTGAGCGGGGCTCCTCAGACCCTGGACTCGGTTGTCCCCGGGGGCCCATGAAATGTCACCTCCCTTAGGCCAAGTCAGACAACAGAGTCTGTGACTCTGTTTCCTGTTGGCTGAGCCTGCCGGGGGGCGGGGAGGGAGACTCAGGTGCAGAGTTTGGGATGTCCCTTCTGGCTTTGACGCATCTGAGCATCTCCGTCTTGCCCCCTGAACTCCACAAGCGTGTCTCCAGCCCCACTGCAGGTTTCTGACGTTTGTGGCTCTAAACGGTGGATGGATAATTCTCCCCCTTCCATTGAGCAGTCGCCCCGGGGCCTGGAGGAGGAGTGGGTGGGGTCGGGGTGCTGGGGTGTTGAGGTCTTTGGTGGGAGGGGGCAGGTGCACCAGGCTGTCCTCTGGAAGAGCGTGGTAGTGATAAGACCACAGGTGTTACCACTAATGACCACCTGTGCCCCTCCCCCTTCCTGCGTATCCGAACCACACCTGAGGGGGGCGCGGGGGAAGGCATCACGCGGTCAGGTGCAGCTGAATGCTGTGAAGCCGGGTCCCCTGCAGAAGTTCCATGACGGGGTCCCACCAGCGGGGTTGGAGGAGGTGGGGAGCGGTTAGGACCCTTTCCGAGCGCAGAGCCCGTTTGTCGAGTAGGAAGATCACACTGTCGTTCCGGATCCTTCCGCATCCCCCGTGTCCGTGGGGTCATGTGCAGCTGCTTGGGTCATGTCCCTGAAGCGAGCCCTGCCTGGACCTATGACCTTGCCATGTGACTGCACAGGTCCCCTCCCCCGCACTCATGTCGGGCTCGGCCACGTGAATGTGGGCAGGTGTGCGGGTGTGCTGAGTCTTCAGAGTCCTGGGTGTCCCTGACATCAGCAAGGCCAACCCACTGGTGCAAGGAGCATGGGATGCAGACCTCAGCCCACCTGGAGCTCAGAGTCAAGCCCCCTGGATCCTGCGACCCCCAGTCAGCCTTTAGATGCGTGAGCAGGTGTAAATGATTATCACTGAAATTTGGAATGACTTGTTATGCAGCGTTAGTAAGGCAATGGCTCACTGATGCTGTAAGCATGTGCTACTTACATAAGGGGGAGAATCTTTTTTAAAAACGTGGTTGTGTCCTGTGCCTATACACATCAGCTGTTTGCTGACTCTACAAATTTATAAATAGACGGTTTCAAACTCTGCCCCAATTTCTTTGACCTCAGAGAAGGCTACTAAATGCATTAATGTACCAGAACCGAGAGAAAGACCCACGTCACTTTGGATCACAATGTTTGTCATGCATTAGCTACTCGGAAGAAGAGCGAAGACAGTCCTTTTCTCTAATCCCTGCCACAAGGGATTGACTTGATTTCCAGTCTCTTTGGCTGCTGGTGCAGTTCTTCCTGCAGGGCTCTGGAGGGAGCGGTGCATTTTATCTGAGAGATGTAAGGCAGTGAAAAGGGACGCACAAACTTGGCGGCCAGAGAGAGGCCATCCTTGACTCAGAAATCTTCCAGATCAGAATTCTGTGTTGGCTGGTGGATTTCTAAAGCTTGCTGGGGCCAAGAGCTGCTTACATTTCCTGAGTGACCACTGTCCGCCTTTACAAGAATGAACTGTAATCCTCCCGACAACCCTATGAAGTAGGTCATGATGAGGAGCCCCACCTGAAAGACGAGAAGTCAGGGCATGGAGAAGTTTACCTTCGGGGTCTCAGGCTTCCCAAGCCGGTGGAGCTGGGATCTGAAGACAAGTCTGACCAGAGTCCACATTTTTAATCACAAAATCGGGGAAACTGTTGGTTCTCTGAAACATGCTCCTTGTGGACCTGAGCTCCGGTAACATTGCCCGCTCTTTAAAGGGAAGATACGAGTCCCCAAAGCCACAGAGGGCCGCAGGGACCCTGTCCTGGGCTGGCTCGCCAGGCTGGGGCCCGGTGGATTCCTTCAAGGCTCTTTTCTATTTCTGTTTAACTTCTTGGTGGGCCAGCTCACCCCCAGAGGGAATGTTTGAAGAGAAGTAAAAATATCCTAGAACAACACTTGCAACTAGTTCAGAAACTGTGTCTCATGTATAATGCATTTTCAGTCGCTTTCTGTGGTGAAGTCCTTGTTAGTCAGAGGGAAAGACGGAACGTTTTACTCGCTGTGTGAACAGAGGTGCTGTCACGGGGTTGCTGAGCCAGAAGCCAGGCGGCGGGGAGAGCAGGAGCCCTGTCCTCGCTTCCCTCTAACCCCGAGGCCACGGCAGGCCCTGCAGAGCCCCCAAGCTGCTCTGGCTCCTCAGGCCCATGGCTGGTTGGCCCTGTCCTTCCCTGTTCTTCATTGCGATGATTATAGAGGATCAAGCCTGTTTACCACAAGCAGGTGCGGTTTCTATTTCCGGTGGGTCCATGGGTCCCCCGGTTGGCTCCCCC